GCTATAAAAATTTCAAAGCTATATTTTTTAAATTTAAAAAGTTAGAGGGGGTGGGATACTTATGATTCCTACTGTATGATTAAGAAGGTGAAAAGTAAAAATATAATAATATCAGACAACAAAACACTAAACTTTAACTATCTGCTAGTTGTCTATTATATTAACTTCATTTAAAACTGTATCTGGAACATGGTGATGTGATCTGTATTTTTTCACAGCATATTTTGCAGTCTTTCCAGTTAAACCTTAACAATACACATCCATATATCTAAAGGCTTTCTGTGCATGGTTTCTAATTTCGACAAGAGACACTGAATTGAGAGCTTGTAGCATGGTTCTCTTCAAACCTTCCCATGTATAGTCACAGTGATTTTGTGCATATCGCTTTGCAGATCCTCAGAAGTTTTTTATATAATTTAACTCGCAATGAAATTTCAGATAAAAAATAACTTCATGACCTGCTAAAACAATAGCTTCTTTAACTTTTTTACATTGAACTCTAAAATCTGGTTGATTCGCTATTGTAGTTCTAGCACAGCAGTCAATCCTTCCTTGTTTATACTCTCCTTTACACTTTAATTTTATTTTCTTACACCACAATCCTCTTTTACTCAAAACTCTCTTCAAGCCTTTTGGTTTACCACACAGGTCAGGATCTTCATAATTTTCAGAAAAACACATATCTTGCAGGATATTATTATCTCCATATGTGGTGCTTCTAAATATTTAAAGTTAATATCACTATATAAAAATATTTAAAGAATTTAAATAATATATGAACCTCATTTTTGGCTGATTTCCACCAGAAGATAAATTCATTCTTTTTGCTAAAAGTGCATTTTCAGCATATGCACAATGACTGGTTGCATTATCAAATACAAAAAGAGCTCTTGTACCTGGAAATCGTGCTTCAAATATTAGAATTGCACGATTTACTACTTGATTTACAAGATCATCTGAGTCCCACCATTTATCACCATCTTTATCTAGATAAGTTGTAATATATACTTTTGACAGAAGATTGGGAAAAGTAGCCTAAAAACAGAACTCAATTATAATTTTTTAATCATAAAAAAAAGTAAAGCCTAAGAGTTAAATATATACCCTATCTTCTTCACATAATACTAAACATCTACCAATGTCAGTGAGAAATTCGCTTATATGAACTGACCGCCCTTGGTCTTTTTATGAAGTGGTTGTTCCCCTTTGGCATCCACAACCAACGCTTTCTATCATATGCTGTAAAAGTGCACTCATCATGTGTTACCAAAATTATATAAAAATTTGGCTGAGTTTTTTGTTCCATATTTTTACCGAAAAATACTATTATATGTGTTTTATATCTTAATATTCTTTCCAAAAATCTTTCATGATAAGCTATCATATCAGCATGCTCATGACTATCCATATACATTCTTTTTCTAACTAGTGAATATTCAAATCCAAATATCTCTAACCACTTTTCAGCAGTTTTTACACACATTGTTGGTAATAGATCAAAGCAAAGACTTGGAAGTACTCTTTTATTTATATGCTTTGCCAGTTCAATTGGATTTACACTCCATTTGTTTGATTGAAGAAAGGACATAACTTGCATCAAAATATCCTTATCCCACAAGAAACTTCAGGTTTTTGGATATTTACCCTGTCTTGAAATCGGAATTGTACCATTTTGAACATAATTTACTGCCCATGCATATATACAATGGGCATAGTAAACACCCCTTCCAGCTATCTTAGCTACAATAATGCTTGCTTCAACTCTTTTGGCCATGCTCTACAAGACGAAGATAAGATAACATAGTATAAAGATGGGCCTTTTTCACCTCATCATGCTTATTACTTTTGACTTCTTTTTCTAATTGTTTAGTAACATCACCCAACATCTCAGAAGACATACTGCGATCTTTATCAACCTCAACTTTAAATTTACTCTTAGAGTTGCTATCAACCTTAACTTCAAATTCACTCTCAAAGTCACTATCCGAATCAATTGTATCGTTATTCATATCTGCACTTACTCCCTTTTTTTATAAAAGATAAATTAAAGCAATTTAAATTAATTTTAATTCATGCCAAAACAAAAAAAAAATTATTAACTAATAACTTACTGGTATCCAAAATATTTCTAATTTGGGTGTTCCAATTGCAGCTTTTCATTGTAGTTGTCTTTGTTATTATTTTGTTCTTTCAGAATTTCCAATATACACAAGTGATCGATGAGTAGCTACTTCTGGAACTGCTTGTAACAGTTTTGTAATAATGTTATTCGCATCTTCATCACTGACAATACTTATTTCTGTATCACCATCTTCAATGTTATCAAACTCGTCATTAAATTTATCACCATTATTGCTACAAGTTTTTGTATTACTATCCTCAATGTTATCAAATTCATTATTAAATTCATCACTATTACTGCTACAAGCTTCTGAAACTTCTGCCTGTTGCTAGTTCTTAGCTGTTTTTTGTATCTTAATCTTTCGTAAATAGGTCTTTCTTTTAGATAATCATGTCATTCTTGTATGATGCTATATACCTAATAACAAGGTTGATATTGCAAAGTTAGTTGAAATTAAATACTAGCTTTTCATATTAACAAGAGCTTTATCTTTTTGTAAAATTAATTACATTTTATTATTTACCTTTTTTTTTTTCTTTTTTTTTTTGTGCACATTCTTACTTCAAAAATAACCGCAAAATAAGATAGACACTTTGTCAGAAATTTATATCTCTTATATTTTATCATATTAACAAATTAAGTAAACTATTAACAGGTGTAATAATATGAAACTGATTTTTTGAAATGCGATAGATTTTCCCACCACAAAATAAATAATTTAATGAGTTTTGGTAAGTATTAACATGCCAAATAATCATATTGTGCTATTCTCAAATAGGCACAATTATGTTTCTCTTTCTCATATATTCGATTACACTTTTTTTCTCTCATTTCTACCCTATTATTTGTTAATTCTTTATTAAATGTTGAACCAATTTGTAATGAATGTTTGCCTATAAAAACTAGATTTGGCTTTCTTTATTCATTCGTCTTATCAGACCACATATAGCATTTAATTTATCGTTTGCACTTTAACTTGATATTGGTAAGATTTTTCCCATCATTTCTATATAATAACTATTGGGATTAACATTAAAAGGTAGATTGAGAATTTTTATTTTATTATCGACTGATTACATAATTAATGTATTATTACAGATTCAACAATAAGACTATGCATAAACTATCATAATAATGATGATATACAGATTCAACTATCAATAATAATAATGATATACAGATTCAGCAATAAAACCTGCATAATGATGACAATATACAGTAGTAACAATAACGATAAGATTAACTAATATATTCTTACAACCAATCATATTAAATATCGCGCATTTAGACTAATAGGAGGCCTTATTTTAGTATTATATGAGCAGCCAAATTTTTGCTTTAATTAGTAAAGTCAGGCAATTTAGAAAAGATATTACACAGTAAAATTTAATTAATTAAAAAAATTAAAGTTATAACCTTGTTCTTTAGGTTTGATTTTATTATTTTATAAAGAAATTTGCTTTATAACTATTTTAGTTTTTTTTTATAAGCTTCTAAAGATTGTGTATTTTATTTGTTGATTTAAGAATTTGTGCACTGTACAAATATAATAAATAATAAATATTTAATATAAAATACAAGTTAATAAATATAAAGCTAGATAATATAAATATAAAATATAAAATAAACTATAAAATATAAAACTATGCTACTGTTACAAGTAAACTATAGCCTTCTTTAAAATATAGTACTTGCAACACAGTACACGGCAACAGGAATCTATATAGAGTTAGAATAGATATAAAGCGGTGTGGAAGTAGAATATTACTTTACTAAAGCAATTCGGTATACTTTTTTTTTATATATATATATATATATATATATTTATTGGTTAAGGAGACCTCTTTGGCCTGAAAGCTTTTATTAGGATTTGAAACAGTGTTTTATATGCAATTACAAC